TATTTCAAGTCCTAATCCTCAGTTACAAGCACAAAACTGCAAAAGAAATTCCTAATCAGATTTCTAACATAATATACCAGATATAGTGACAAGAAACAAATACATTTCTTGAATTAGTGAATATACAAACTCTCTGCTTTCAAAATAATAATTTTATATCTGAAAAATGACATGGACTACAAATACCTTCATAAGTAACCCCATAAAATAAGCATTCATATTCATGTCTTTTAAGATATTTGTTTTTACATAGCTATCTAGTTCCTCTTCATGCCCATCCTAATTATTTTACAAAAGAAAATAATATTTTTAATATTTAAATAAATAATATGTATATATTTACAACATTTCACATTTGATCTCTAGAAAAGTCCTCAGTAGCAAAAGGTACATATCTCAGAGAGATTTCCACATTTGCAAAGATATTAAACGTATTAGTTTGCTAAAGCTGCCATAGAAAAATACCACAGAGTGAGTGGCTTAAACAACAGAAACTTACTTTCTCATAGTTTTGGAGGCTTTGAGTCTAAGATCAATAGGTCAGCAGGGGTGGTTTCTCTCGAAGCCTCTCCTTGGCTACCTTCCTGCTATGCCTTCACAGAGTTTTTCCTCTGTGCATGTGCATCCCTGGTGCCTCTTTGTGTATCCAAATTTCCTCTTCTTATAAGAATACCAGTCAGATTGGTGTAGGGCCCACCCTAATGACCTATTTTCATTTAACCACCTCTTTAAAGGTCCTGATTCCAAATACAGTCACTTCTGAGGTTTCAGCTTTAAAGTATCTCTTTTGGGAAACACGATTCAGCCCACAATAGTAAGTGACAGAACAATAACACAAATGTAGGTTTGATTTGAAGGCCTCTTGTCTGTGTGTGCACGCGCCTCTGTACATGTGATGTGTTACAGTAAGTCCATCACAGTCTCTCTATGAAAGCAAACATTTTATATTCTTCATGGAGAACAGCTGTATGTGAATGAAAACGAGGTAATATGAGCCAGAGTATGCCAGCTTTGAGAATGTTAAGTAGGAGAATATAATGTAAAATAGCAAGGGATTCTAGGAAGATAGTAGCAATGGTGTTAGGGTTTTAGAATCTCCTGAAATTTTCCCGAAAGTACAGGTAGAACAACTATAATATCACAGTCAAATCTGACACACATCTATAACAAAACTAAGTGATAAGCTATCCACAGAAACTACCAAAATAGAAGCAGGCAAGTACAAACTATTGACAGGTCCAAGACCCACATATTACTAGCATCTGTATGAGGGAAAGCTGGGGGGGGGGGGGGGGAGGCAACCAGGGATCTGATGGATTTGTGAAATAAGAACCTCAAAACCGTAAGGAGTACTTACTGAAAAGTGCAGCAGGTCAACATGAGCACAGCAGCCAAAACTGCGAGGTGGATAGCAACAAAACCTGAAGTTATTGGAGCTGTCTGGGCTCTGTGAACACTTAAAACTAACCAACAAGAAGCCTTTCCAGGACAAAAGCTTACACTGATGAGAAACTGCTGGGAGTATAAACCCAATCAAAGAAGAAAGGATCAATATGAATAAAGGATAGAGAAGGTACAAATAAAAGTGGGGATACAACGCTAAAAGCACCATCCATGAAAAAAAGATTGGTAAGTGGGATTTCATTAAAATTAAAAATGTCTGCTCTGTGAAAGATACTAGTAAGAGAATGAGAAGATAAGCCACAGACTGGGAGAAAATATCTGCAAAACACCTATCTGATAAAGGACTGGTATCCAAAATATACAAAGAACTCTTAAGCTCTACAATAAGAAAGTGAACCACTCAACTAAAAGATAGGCAAGAGACCTGAGCAGACATCTCACCAAAGAAGATATACAGATGACAAATAAAAATATTAAAAGATATTCCACATCATATGTCATCCTGGAAATGCAAATTAAAACCATGTATGTCCATGAAAATACATAGAGGAAACTTAAATGCCTATTACTAAGTGAAAGAAGCCAATCTGAAAAGGCTCCATATTGTGATTACAATACAGCATTCTGGAAAAGGCAAAACTATGGACATAGTATAAAGAGCCCCAGTTGCCAGGGGGTGGTGGGAGGGATGAATAGGTGAAACAGAGGAGATTTTTAAGCCAGTGAAACTATTCTGTATGATACTATAATGGCGAATACATGTCATTATACATTTGTCAAAACCTATAGAATGTACAGCACAAAGAGTGAATCCTAATGATTCACTATGGATTTCGGTCAACAATGATGGGTAAATGCTGATTCATAGATTGTAAGAAATGTGCCACACTGATTTGGGATGTTGATGGTATATGAGGTTGTGTGGGGCAAGGGGGGAGATATGTGAAGACCCTGCACTTTCCATTCAATTTTGCTGCAAACTTAAAACTGCTCTAGAAAATGAAGTTTATTAGTTAAAATATGGAAATAATTTAATTTTAAAATTTAAAAAATAAAATTAGAGAAGGAAAAAAGCTAGGAAATCTCAGACAACAAGTTCATACTTTTGATACTCGGAGAAAATAATAGAATAAGGGGCTCTGGGTATGTGATTTAGACAAAAAAGCTAAAGCAAATCTATTCTGCAGATTCCAGTTCTGGACAAGTTGAGGTAGACTCAATTCTCTATATTCCTCCCACTAAGAACGCCAAAAATTCCTCAGTATTATACATCAAATAAACATAAGAAGATTCTTAAAGATGAAGAGAAGATAAACCAGAGCAGGGCCTCAAGACCTGAAGAATGACATGGCAGTGAGTTCTCTCAGTGCTCTTTTTGCCTCATATATCCTAGACTGGGTGCTAAAGAAGCCAGCAACCCAGAGACACCAATGGATGCAAAGGAACAAAAACTCCATATGAAGCCTACTCTTCCTAGTCATAGGACCAGGATAGGATAGGGGCAACCTGGCAAGACAGAAAACTTTAAAGCAATAGCTGCTTTTTTCCCAGCCAAATACCATGGAAAAATCTACAGATTCCCATCTCTATCCTTATCAACAAAGGCCAAGTGGTGAGCCTGGACTTCAACCCACCCAGCAGTAATAAAGCCCCCATTTCCTCCCCACTCAGATAGTGGTAGAGGAGGACTACCGGGAAGTTGGAATTTTTATCATCTTCCAGAATTAACATGATTCTCCCTCCATGGTATCAGTGGAGGTGAGTAACAAGGTATCCGTACTTCTCCCAGCCAAGTTGGTGAGTGAGGAGCCTGAACTCTCATCCCTGCCCAGGAGTAATGAGGCACCCCTCCCTTTCCAGAGAGTAAGTGGAGGCTGAGTAGAAAACTTAGACTTCCACTCCCATCTGGCAAGAAGGAACAAGATGGGGGCACCTGGGTGGCTCAGTCGTTAAGCATCTGCCTTCGGCTCAGGTCATGATCCCAGGGTCCTGGGATCAAGCCCCGCATCGGGCTGCCTGCTCCGTGGGAAGCCTGCTTCTCCCTCTCCCTCTGACCCTGCTTGTGTTCCCTCTCTCGCTGTGTCACTCTCTGTAAAATAAATAAATAAAATCTTTAAAAAAAAAAGAAGGAACAAGAGGTTCCCTCATATCTCTCCAGTGCAGTAGTAGGGGCAGCCCGCTAAAACAGATTTAAATAAGATCCCAAATGAAAAAAAAAATAGAAAATCTAACAAATTAAAAAAGATATAGAGAGAACCAAATGGAAATGTTACACAGGCAAATACAATAACTAAAACAAAAAGCTCAATGGATAGTCACAATAGCAGAATGAATATGAAAGAGGCAAGAATCAGTGAATTTAAAACAGAAATGATCCAATCTGAACAACAGAGATAAAACAGACTGAAAAAAACCTCTTCTTAAAGAATAGAATTCATTTCATATAAAAGTACAAGAGATTCAGTAGGTGTCCCTCCAAAGCAGCTTGTGCCCTGATACACTCTGCAAGCAACCCCAACAGGGACTGGCGCCACTCCAAAATGACTTCTTCCCTGGGAGAGGGGAAGATAACCACACACACCAGTGCACCCACAGTCCCAGTAGCCAAAACTTATAGCTGGAAGCACAGAGAGAATGAATGCCCTGTTGATCAGGCTAACTACAGCCCCAGCAGGGCGGACTGGGGGACAGGCCTCTGGTCTGACTGCTGATGCCACCCAACCACAAGCCCACGGCAGCCCCAGACTGATCCCTCAATGGCACAAGGGCCAAACTCTGCTCAGTGTACCCACAACAAGCAAAGTGGGCCATTGCAGCCAACTGGACTAGAGGCAAACACAGCTCAGCCACAATAGTAGGGTGCAAGCAACCCATATAGGACCCACCCCTGGTTCTAGTGAACATGGGGCATTGCACTATGGGCCACCACAGGACCTCTTCTTCATAAGGCCACTACTTTCAAGATCAGGAGACATAGCTGACTTTTTTAATACACAGAAACAAAGAGAGTTAGATAAAATGAGGAGGAAGAGGAATATGTCACAAATGAAAGAACAGGACAAAACCATAGCAAAACAGCTAAATGAAACAGAGATAAGTAATATGTATGATAAAGAATTCAAAGTAATGCTCATAAATATCCTCATTGGACAATAGACTTAAATTAGAGCTCAATAACAATAAGATATTTAGAAATCCCCAAATGTCAGGCAAAAATACATTTTTAACAGATCATTTGAAAGAAGACATCACACAGGAAATTAGTAAATATTTGAAACTGGTAATAAAACACAATATATCGAAATCTGTGGGATATAGCTAACGCTATGCTTAAAGAGAAATTTTTAGCTGTGGTTGCCTATATCAAGAGGAAAGAAAAGATTTAAATCAGTTACCTAAAGTTTCCAATTTAAGAAACTAGAAGAAAAAGAATTAGACCCCAAAATGTCAGGGAGATAATAATGATGAGATCAGGAAACAATAAATAAATTAGACAAACAGTAGAAAAAAAGTCGATTCTTTGAAAAGTTTTAAAAATTCATCAACTTAGCAAGACTGTTACTCAATAGTTTATTATGAAATAACAACAACTTTACCTTGGCCAATTCTGTAATTTTACCAAAACCAGGCTTCCAAGAGGGAGCTGTGAATAGACAATCTTAAATCCACTTTCATGAAGCTCAGCCTCTTCAGGAAAGTCTTCTTCAGAAATAGAGCACTTATTGTATCTTGAATCAGTGTTCATGAAGCAGTACCATGGTTTATTGTGATCAACCTTGGCTGCATCCTCACTTGACAACGATCTCCATTTCAAACAGCTTTCATTCTCACACTGAACCCACACTTTGTTTACATACATACTGTTTTCTGCTGAGGAATCCATTGCAGTGTGACAATATTCTACTATTGTCTTACCATCCAGTTGTTCTTTTTCCATAAACGCATTTAATCTGGAAAACAAATAAGAAAAAAAGAAGAAAGGTTCAAGAATATAAGGAAAGTTCAAACCAAAATCAGAGAAACAGCTCTTTGATACCTTCTTTGCCCATATCTTCTCTATCCCATAAAGACTATACATTTTGAACAATTTGTTTCCACCTACCCAGAAACAAAGGAACAAAATAGAAGCATCAATCACTCTGGGCATAAAATGCTCCAAAATTAAAAATAAATTTGTAATCACAAATAAAAATAAAAATAAGTATGACCATTTTTACAGAGAAAACTGAATCTAAGAAAAGTAATTTGTTTGCAGTCCCAGAGCTAGTATATGGTAGAGTCAGGATTTAAAGGCAGGAAGTTTGGTTCCAAATTCTGTGATCTTACCCGCTAAGCTTTACTGCCTCATATATATATATATATATATATATATATATATATATGAAATGAATATATATACTCATGAAATGACTTGATGACCCCTTTCATTTTCTAATTCTGAGGAAAATCAAATGTAACAAAATATTTCACCATATGAACGTTTGAAATCTGCTTTTAAAAACTAATCTTCTGCTTATATAGTTTTGCTTTTTATACATTAATTCAAGTAGTTTGAAAAAAGCATTTCTCAGTTTTTTATTATGAAAATTTTAAACATATAAAACATTAGAATTGTATGATTAAGCTCCCAACTTCTAGCTTCAATAATAACTGTGTGTACACTAAAAAATAATACAACTAAAATAAAGTAAAATGAATTAACTTATTTTGCAATAGAAACCTGTTTTAAAGAATGACTTCAATATACCATATTCACAAGTTAGCAAAACACTACTATCCAAGTATAAGCACCATTTAAAGAAGCTCTTAATTCATGAGTTAATCACATATTTAGAAACTCACTTATCATATTTCAGGGTCACCACAAATTGCTTTAGAAATTTGCCAATTTATGCCAATAGCCATAGTTCACAATTTTTTACCTGTTAATGTTGCTCGTATGACTGTATCCACAGAAAATAAACCTCAAAAAAACTATTCTACACATACAGAGACCCAACAATATTCACTGTGGCACTATTTATCATACCTAAAGAGTGGACAAATCTAAAAACACGAAGAACTAAATCTATTGGAAGAGAAATAAAAAATTTTGCTAATAATAGTCATGTAAATTTCTGGTTAATTATTTAGCTGGTGAGGAAATTTATGAGAAGCATGCCTGCAATTTAGATTGCATTTGAAGTGAACAGTTTTTTCCTCAATTCTCTGCGCCACTGGACAGTACAGAAGTTGTTGAGTTCAGACATTGGAGCCAAATTATGTGTGAACTCTTGGCTCTGTTATTCACCAGCTGTCCCTGGGCAAGACATTATTTTGCATTTCACTTCACATTAAGTGTAAGTGTGTGTATGTGTATGTGTGTGTGTGTGTGTGTGTGTGTGTGTAGCAGTTTTGTTTATTTTCCATCCTTGTATCTTCTTTTACTGTGCTGCCTAAGACAGGTATAATATTGAATAGAAGTCATGATAGTAGACATCTTTTCCTAATTTCAAAGAGAATGCTTCTACTATTGGACTACATAGTCAAATACTTATATTTTTTGATAGAGACCATTGCCAGAAAATTTTTCCCTTCAATTACCAGTTTACTATGAGGATTTTTTGTTAATAATGAAGCACTGTTGAATTTCATTTATTGCTTTTCTGTATGTATTGAGGTAAACATAAAGATTTTTTAAGTCTATTAATTGGGTATGTTGTAATAATGAATTTATTAATGATAAATCATACTTTCATTCTAGGTAAACCCTACATGATCAAGTGTTATGAGATTTTTTTAACATATATTGCTGTATTTAGTTTATTAACAGTTATTTAAGATTACACATATGTTTATAGATGAGATTGGTCTAATAATTGCAATTCTCTTTGCCTTTGTCTGGTTTTGATATCAAGATTAAAATAACCTCATAAAATGAAGTACAGAATGTCTCTCCTTTTATGTAAAGTTTGCCTAAGGGGGCAGTTCCCAATTCTGTCTTACTTTTAAGAATTGTGGTGTATCTACTATGTCTCTCATTATGTTTCTCTCCTTCACTCTGAAATTTATTTATATCTTCTTTTTCTTCATTTATCTTGTCACTACTTTTTAAACACAAACAGAATTTGAGTCTTCCCATTTACTTTTTTAGAATTCTATTTAATTAATAGCTGCACTCTATTCTTTCCTTCCTCTACTTTCTTGGGCATTCTTTGTTGATCTTCCCTTTCTCGAGTTGGTGCTTGATTAAATTATTTTCAGTCTTTTTAAAATTAATTTTATTTAATTATGGTAAAAACACTTAACATGGCATCTACCCTCTTAACAAGTTTTTAAGTGTTTTATACAGTATCATTGACCATAGGTACAACATTGTATAGCAGATCTCTATAACTTATTCATCTTGCTTAATTAAAACTTTATACCTGCTGATTCATAACTTACCATCTCCCCTTTAACCCTACTCTTCGATTCTATGAATTTGACTATTTTAGATACCACATATAAATGGATTCATGCAGTATTTGTCTTTCTGTAACTGCTCATTTCACTTAGCATAATGGCCCCAACTTAATCCATATCCAATATTTTGCAGATTTTGCAAGGCTGAATAATATATTCCCTTGTAGACTTTCTTCATCCAACCATCAATAGCAACTTAGGTTGTTTCCGTATCTTGGCTATTGTGAATAATGCTTCTATGATCATCGGAGTGCTAATTTGTCTTTGAGATCCTGATTTCAATTCTCTTAGATCAGTACCCAGAAGTGGGATTGCTGGATCCTATGGTAAGTTCTATTTTTTAACTTTTTGAGGAACGCCCCCATAGTTTTCCATAGCACCTGCATCATTTTGCATTCCTACCAACTGTGTACAAGGTTCCAATTTCTCCACATTCTTGCCAACATTTATCTTTTAATTTTTTGATAATAGCCATCTTAAACAGGTTTGAGGTGATATGTAACTGTGGTTTTGATTTGCATTTCTGTGATGATTACTGATGTTGAGGATCTTTTCATACATCTGATGGCCATATTTATGTCTTCTTTGGAAAAATGTCTATTCAGGTCCTTTGCCCATTATAAATCCTGATTATTACTATTATTTCTATTAGTTGTAAGAGTTCCTTACATATCTTGGATATTAACTCCTTATTGAGTATATATTTTGCAAATGTTTCATTCTATTCTATAAGTTGCCTTTTAAGTTTGTTGATGGTTTCCTTTGTTGTGCAGAAACACTGTAGTTTTATATAGTCTTACATATTTGGTTTTGATGTAAGATCCAAAAAAATCACTGACAAGACTAATCTCAATGATCTTCCCAAGTTTTTTTGTTTGTTTGTTTTTAAAGATATTATTTATTTATTTGACAGAGAGAGAGAGATAGCGAGAGCAGGAACACAAGCAGGGGGAGTGGAAGAGGGAGAAGCAGGCTTCCCGCTGAGCAGGGAGCCCAATGTGGGGCTCGGTTCCAGGACCCTGAGATCATGACCGGAGCCGAAGGCAGATGCTTAACGACTGAGCCATCCAGGTGCCCCTCCCCTATGTTTTTTAATAAGAGTTTTACAGTTTCAGGTCTCTAATTTGAATCTTTAGTCCTTTTTGAGTTGATTTTTGTGTATGGTATAAGGATCCAATTTTATTCTTTTGCATGTGACTATCCAATTTTCTAATACCATTTATTGAAGATGCTATCATTTCCCTATTGTGTATTCTTGGTGCCTTTGTCAAAAATTAGTTGACTATATATATGTGGGTTTATTTCTGGGTTCTCTATTCTGTTCCATTGATCTGTGTGTATTTATGCCAATACCATACTATTTTGATTACCATGGTTTTGTAATATGGTTTGAAATGAGGAGGTAAAATGCCTCCAACTTTGCACTTCTTGCTCAAAATTGTTTTAGCTATTTGGGGTCTTTTATGATTCCATATGAATTTTATGCCTGCTTTTTTCTATTTCTGTAAAAAATGACATTTGAATTTTGATAGAGATTGAGCTGAATGTGTGGATCACTTTGTGTACCAGGGACATTTTAACAATATTAATTCTTTCAATCCATGAACATGAGATATCTTGCCATTTATTTGTCTTCAATTTCTTTCAGAAATGTCTTATAATTTTCATTGTACAGATCTCTTACCTCCTTTGTTAAGTTTATTTTTAAGAATTTTATTCTTTTTGATGCAATTAGAAATGGGATTTTCTTAATTTCTTTTTCAGATAATTCATTGTTAGTGTATAGAAATGCAACCAGGTTTTGTTTGATTTTGTATCCTGCAACTTTACTAAATTAATTGATTAGTTTTAACAGTTTTTGGGTGAAGTCCTTAGGATTTTCTATACATAAGATAATGTGTTCTGTAAACAAAGACAATTTTACTTTTTCCTTTCTGATATGGATGCCTTTTATTTCTTTTCCTTGCCTAATTGTGCTGGCTAGGATTTCCAGTACTAAGTTGAATAGAAGTGATGAGAGTGGATGCCTTTATCTTATTCCTGATCTTGATCCTGATGAAAGCTTTTCATCAGTGAGTATGTTAGTTGTAAACTTGGTATATAAGACCTTTATTTTTTTGAGGTACATTCCTTCTATACCTAATCTGTTGAGAGTTATATCAAAGGTTGTGAAATTTTGTCAAATGCTTTCGCTGCATCTACTGAAATGATAATATGATTATTTTCTCCTCATTATGGCATGTTTATTGATTTGAATATGATGAACTACCTATGGACCTCAGAGATAAATCCAATTTGATCATGGTGTATAAAACTTTTAATATACTGCCAAATTCTGTTTAGTAGTATTTTGTTAAGAACTTTTGCATATATGTCCATCAGGGATATTGACCTATAATTTTCTTTTTTTTTTTAAAGATTTTATTTATTTATTTGACAGAGTGATAAAGAGGGAGAGCAAGAGCACAAACAGGGGGAGCTGCAGGCAGAGGGAGAGGGAGAAGCA